GTAGTCGTATACAAGAGTTGAATATGGAGATGGGCAACCCTAACTAAACATACGTCATGCCGTCATCTAATAAAATGCATCTGAAGGCTTTGTTTGCTTAATGTTATGATTGAAAACATTGGAAGTCTTCCCACTATACCTATATTATAGTATAAAATACACAGTAAAATGTTGTGTTTATGGTTCCCCGAGGCGCTTGATTTAACCTTGTTTGTCATGAACTGTCACTATGTCACCTACCCCACTATCGTGTCAAGGGGGCTGTGTAATTAAAACCAAGAGAGCGATGTTCTTTGAGCGATGTTTAATCCAGTGCTTGACACTGAAATCACCGCTGATTAGACGTTATGAATCGAAGCAATTAAGGCTAGCTTTACACAGTCTGAATCAGAATCTGGATTCATAATATGAATTCATATCAATAATTCAAAGCGTACGGAATTGCATACAATTTAACTACTATCCACACACAATAAGATTATGGACGATAATGAATGTGTCAGATTGATCTTTCAGAAGAAAACTCAAAACTCAGAAATTCAAAATATGGAAAAATTCCAAACGCACCTCTTTTCATAGACACGGATTCAGATTACGAATTTGTCATTGATATAATCTGTCTTATGTGTGATTGTCACTTTACATTAAACTTATTTAGTCGTTCGAGAGACTACGGATCAAACCATAAAACGGAACTTTTAAGACTTATGTGAGTCAAAGCACCGGAATTCAAGTCATGAATTTATATTATGGATTCGGAATCTGATTCAGACTATGTAAGGCCAGCCTTAAACGCCACAGTCATTATTTTATTTCTTGTTTAGATTTGGATAGGTTTTAACTTAAATTAAATTAAAAATTGACGAAATAAACATGTATTCATGATATTAACAAATAAAATGTGTTTGGAAGTATCGATTGAGTATTGCAGGGAGAATTTTAGGCGCAGCGTACACCGGGAGAGATAGTGAGAAGTCGTAAAATTTTCCTTAAACCCTAATTCTGTGCGCCGCTTGTATATTGTTTCACGTTTTCAATAGAGTTTAACTTAAATTGTTAACTTCTCTGTATCTTCAGGGGGCCAATCGCCTAACGGGATGGCTATGGCTGCTGTAGCTATCGCTTACATTTTCATTTTGTTATTTATGAACGCCTAACTTTTCTCGGGATTTTAGTGAACTTTTAATGTTTCCGCATAGATTTTTCTTCTTGGTGTCGAATTTTGTAATATGCGGCCGATATTGGTTAATTTCACCGTAATTTTGATTATAAAACTGGGAGCACTTTTTCTTACACTGTTGTCGCTTTGACATCCGGAAACGGAACGGTATTTGAGAGATTGAGTAACAAACAAACAAACATACAAACTTTCACATTCATATAATAGTATATAGAATGCCAATTCTGTGAGTAAAGTTAGACTATTTTCAATGAATGCTGGTGGCTGTCATTATGCTCTTCCAAAATATGTCACAACACTCACAATAATGTTTGTTGCTGTACCTTTTGTAAGTTTCACAACAAACACATTAGAAATGTGTCCATTTTGTCCATAATTTGTGTGAATAAAGGGCGTGTGAAGCAATGGGAGCCGACGCAATGATAATGAGCAAGATTTGATAGCAACAACGCAAATTGCTACATCTTTTTAGGGTACCTCGAAAGAAAAAAAACGGGACCCTAATAGGATCACTTTGTTGTCCGTCTGTTTGACAAGACCGTTTATCTCGGGAGCGCGTGGGGGTATCAAGTTGAAATTTATACTTTATTCTCAAGTCTACGGCCCCTTGAAGCCTAACTTACACGTGTTTTATTTTATTTATATTGTTTTAAACTTTAATGGTCATTAACATTATAGTAATATAAGTTATTGACGAGATTGCTACCATGTACCTTGTTGCGCTTGCTAAAGTGCCTAAATATCTGAAACTCGCTAAAAACAAGGTACTTGGTAACAATCCCGTAAATAACTTTATTTATTTATTTGTAATGTCGATAAAGTACATGACGTAGTTGACGGTACATTGATAAGAATAAATCTAGGTCTTTTACAACTCAGTTCTGTATTAAGGTGGCGTGTTATAGCCTAGGTACTTATCGACCAACAATTAATTTAACGAGACTGCCCTTCAAACAACTACGAGATGACCGATTAAATATGGTGATAGAAGTTCTGAAAGGTTACTTAATTTACGTGCAATGTTCAAACCTTGTCGATTGAGGTTAAAACGAAAGCAGCAATGTCTCGCGTTATTAGAGTATTAGTTCATGACCAGTAGACCCTTAGCACGAACCAATATCGAATTCGAATAGTTTGCGAGTGCGAAAAGTCATTGTCAAATTTTGTATGGAAACTTGAATAACAGCGCTATAACGGATGTAACGAGAACAAAAAATCAGTACACATTTGACAGTGAGATTTCGACATTGGTTCGTGCTAAAATAGGTTATACCATATGTCGTAGGATGTTACGATAATCTAATTTTCTCAAAAATCCAAGGGATTTTGCGAAAACGCGGATCATTAGACGACGATGATTGGCGATGACATTTCTCAATGGTACTGAAGAAGAAATAGGATTTTTGCAAAATCGTGAGGCGCCTCAGTAGATTGCGACAGGGCATAGTCACATATTATTTTGACTAAGGTATAGTTTGTAAAGTAAGGTCTTGTTGAGTAAAGCTTGGCTCTACATGAGATCTGATAACTTTTTGACAGTGCGAGTCATATGGTCTCGTCTTGGCAACATTTTACCTGAAAATGATTTTGGTGGGATTTCGTTTTTTATAAGCTTCTAGTAGAATTTTTTAATATACTTTTTTGTTGTTAGATAGTACCTATATAGATTTGCAACGTCAAAAATTCGGAAGTTTCATACAACCTTCCATATAAAAGTAACAAGTTTTATAATTTTCATAGCAAATTTTAACTTTCTAGGACATTAGCAAATACCCTAAGAATTTTGATGATCATCAGTGAAATATCAGGGTTTTATAGATATGAATAAAATCTAAAACATAAGAGCTATGCTATAAGTAATTAATTATCATTAAGATTTATTATTAGACTGCTTCTAAATATACCACTTCAAAATAGTTAATAGATAATTGGACAAAGATTTATTTTCGTGGGACCGTAGTAGGTGTATTATTATTTGATCCCTTTAAGTTCTCGGGTCAGAAGAGGTTTAAAGGGTGACGCACGTTAGACTGTTCTGGGTTCGGGCCGGGCGTTGTCCGTTATGCGTCCGGGCACCGCATAGATAAATATTACATACATTTTATATGGACACACTCACGCTATACCAAGCGGTAACGAGATATTAATCCAACACGTAGTTGCCATTTTAATGTGTAGAGACTAAATTAGACCAGAGTGTTCCACTTTCACTATATGAATTACTAGTGACCCGCTCTCGCTTCGCTTCGGTGTAGAGCTGTAGTGTAGAATACAGTTGCACCATTGCCCTGCTGTTCCGATTTGAAAAAATCTTTTTATATTGGACAGTGCACTTATCGAGCAAAGCTAATAGGCTTTATTACATCAGGTTACGACCAGTAGAAGCGGAGCATCGATGAAAAATGCAAAAACGGGTAAAAACATTTCATTTGTGAGATTCCGTTGCGTGCGCTGGGTAAACGGTAAAAGTTACACAAAAATCATGTATAACGATTTTTTTTCGACAGCCTCGACAGTATAATGTCCATATTTTAAGTTTGACTCTCTATAACCTTTTTCTTCTAATTAACGTGGGGAAACCGCAGGGGACCTCTAGTTGTGACATAACTGTGAAAGTTAGACAAATGGTATCGCGAACTTTTTTGTAGATATTGATGTCCTCTATAAAACTTTAGTACATCACTTTGATCTATTGTCAATGACTTCAGCTGCGTACGCGATATAAGTTTGTTTTTGATATTTTTTACACATATTCGGTTACATTATCAAAGTTTTCATACGGAACCCTAACTTTCTTGAAAATACTCTATAGCCTATGTTCATCACGGATAATGAAGGATTCTAACTATGAAAGAATTTTTCGAATCGGTTCAATAGTTTCGGAGCCTATTCAATACAAACAAACACAATCAAATCTTTTCTCCTTATAATATTAGTATAGATGACATTTCGTATTTTCCTTCCCTGAGGCGAAAACTTCTTTGTCGCCTTCAAGGCCTACCCGAAGCATCAAGGAGAGGAATCATTAGACCTACATAACCTTACAGCCGTCTGTAGGTCATCCATATTGGATTTCTCACTTTGTCCGCCCTAACGGCTCGGCCATGAACTTGCCGGCTGGTGCTATGAGCGATGTGAAACAAAATAATGTAGGTACTAGAATGTAACAAGCACGCCACGAAAGGAAAACAACAGCGACAAAGTCAAATCGCTACGCTGATCATTAAGCCGGAGCTTCTGGACGTACACGAGTGCTTGTTGAACCTAAACCGATGGCATAGCGTTAGTATTTTACAAGAATTTGCAACAGCCTAGACTGTATAATTAATTTTGAATTTGAAAATTTGCATAGTCATGATCGGGCAGTAAGGGTGTTCGATAATTTCTTCGATTTTATAATAATAAAAAAGGAAGCTAGGAGGTACCATCTGTGACATGGTGAACTCCCTAAATAGGGATCCCTTGTTCCGCCCTTAACAGCTGAAGAGGGTATTCGCAGGGTTTTTTAGAGTATAGTATGCCGGACGCGCTCGTAAGCCGTGAGAGTTATGGCCCCGCCCCTCCGATCCTAAGAGGCCTTCAGTCGCTCAGTCCCAATCCGATACGGGTGCACATCAGAGTGCATCCGTCCTCTAACCACACTATGCAGTAAGGCAGCGCCTTTGTGTTGCCTGGGTGTGTTTTAGTCAGTAAGTCTTATATAACCCTGCAGCCGGCTCTAGGGTTTTCTATGAGGATTTTATACCCGCTCCCCGATTGCGCAGTGAGGGTGTGCGATGATTTCTTCTAGACGACTAATAGAAATGGAAGTCAGACATACCATCTGTGGGCGATGTGTAAAGCTTCTTGCATAACTCCTGCGGCCCGCCGAGCGCGTTGAGCTTGGCTATTCCCTCGGCGCCGCGCGTCTCCATCAGCTCGCGCAGCTGCCGCAGCGAGACGCCATATTGCGCCGGCCGCCCCTCCACGGTAGCCATGGTGCCGGGCCCGCGGCCGCCGCCCGCACCACGCCACACAACCCTCTAGATCTGGAACAACACCAAAGTTCATTTTCAAAACGTTCCTTTCCTTACCACATGTTTACATTGCTGGGGAAAAGTGATCATCTGACCACAATGATCAGAATCTAGTTGACTGATAATCTGTTTTGTGATATAAGAACTGTTAATAATAATGTCAATACAAGTGACTGAAGTAGCAGTTACTCTAGTTGGCCCCACGAACAATTTTTTAGATAGTATGATTGAAATAAGCATTTTGTGTTTGTGCACAAGTTAGAATTTTCTAATTAATTAATTTTAAAGTCAACACGGACAATCAATCGTTTGCCTGTAGTGTGTGCTTTTTTTAATACTTCATCCATAGTGGTTTCGGAACAATTACCTATACAACCCCGATGGATGAATTCTACAACCCCAATAATACGTTAAATCGAATCTAAAGTCCAAACACAGCAAAACAAGTCCTCAGCTGTAAAGGATAACCCTCTAAGGTCGCTTTGTTTTTGAAAAAGTCAAATATTATTACAGTTGAATCCTATAGAAAAAAATATGCATTTGACAAAATTTAATATGTATTTCGTTGCATTAACCAGAGTTGCTATTGATGAAACAACGCGACCTTAATCTGGAGCAACACCGAAAACACATTAAGCTTTGTCCAAATCCAAAATACAAACACATCAAAGAAATGTGCGCAGCTGCAAAGGCGCATAAATCGTCCAATCAGAACACTGTTTTTGAAGCAGCATCCGCGCCGTGATTGGATAATAATCACGCAATATGCCCGTGTGTGCGTGCTATGATTATGACGCAAGTTTACACAAATCCTTATTTTCATCGTAGTTTTCACACATGACTTAGAAAATTACCCGGTCTTAGTAACTTTACTACTGATTTGGATACTTAAGAACAATAGACCGCGCTAGTTAGCCACCCTTGATTTTAAGAAGAAGAAGATAGGAGTTTGAAATATTGAAGATCAGAATAGTAAGTTTTGGCGAACAGAGAAGAGAAAGAGATTAAGATTCAGAACAACAGTTAATAAATTGTGAATGCAAATCACTATTATGCCTATATAATAACTTTCATATAGTTAAAATGTACCAGTATCCATAAGAAGCATGCAATTCGAACTATACCCCAAAAACGATTTATCCTTAACCTCTCACTCTTTGTGAATAGATTTGTTAACAGAAATTAGCTAAATTGCGCGGTAATGAATGAATCAGCGACTCTTCGGGAAAAGGATAGCTTTATTTGATCTTCAGCCCCGAATCAATATAGGAAAATGAGCTTTTCTGTATTGCAGAGTTTGGTGGGATGCTTTGTTAACTCATAATATTGCTTTAACGCAATTGCTTGCTGATGCTTGGGATCACTAAAATTACAGACATTGAATTTAAGATTATAGCCACTAGCTTATTTGGGTTTCATGTTTCTGTCGGTGAGTAAAGTTCCAAGGCTCCAAGGGTGAGGATGGCTAGACTAGAGGCACTGATTTCTACCGCAATAGCTGATCTTCGCGACTTAGTGACTACAGTATTATTATACACTAAACACCATCTGGAGTAAAGTAATTTGTTATTGCTACGTCTATTCAAAATTCTCAAATATGAAATGGAGAAAATGACATAAACAAAGCTGAATTCTCTGCTATACGTAAGTATTTTTCATTTATTTGCTTCTTTGCTCCGAGCATGATTTTCAGAAATAGCGGCTGCAATGTTTCCATTAATATTGGACTAAAACACGGCAATGCCATGATCCATCGATTTTCGAAACACGATTCTACATTCAGAGCCATAATGCTGTTGGTGAAGTGTGGATTAAATAAAGCCTATCATTTGATTAATGGTTTCTTCACTGAGAGCAATTTGGAAAAGGGGAAAGTACAATTTAAGTAGATGTTACGCGAGTATCTATACCAATATTATAAAGCTGAAGTTTGATTGTTTGGTTGAACGCGCAAATCTCAGGAACAACTACTACAATATGAAAAAATATTTTTGTGTTTTTATAATCTACCTAGAAAGCAGGTTATTTAGGTTATATAAAATTACATTACTACCAATAAGAGCCAAATAAAAATGAAAATTGTTGCGAAAACGGTAAAAAAATATACAAAGTGTATAAACGGTTAGTTAGGTACGTAAAAATACTAGTGTTTTGATACACCTTGTTATATATAACAGCCTCATAAACTACTATTTCTAAAAATGATATCAATCCTTATACAAATAAATACGTTTCTCATCACGCGCGTATTATTCCGACATCCTCGCGAAAGAAGTCGCAGGAACAGCTAGGAATTGAATAATTAGTAATTTATCCTTTGAGTCTCGTTATGAGTGATTGTGTTAATTTTAATAATAACGAAAATTTATTTAATGACAACAATATCGCAGCTCAAGAGAATTAGGAAAAAAATCCCACATTCAATTTTAAAAGAAGAAGTAACAATGGGTGCCGATTAAAGAAATATTTTTTTCGGCTAGAGGATATGAATTAAGTTATATAATATAAAAAATGAATTGCTAAATAAATACAAAATTAAAATTTGTTTTTGGGCATAGTATTCCAGCAAACACAACGATAACAATGGAAATAACATAACATGAAACTGAGCGATATAAAAGAATGAAGAATATTGTTATCGAAAGAGAATGAAGTAACTTCGTACATCTGCGATACTGACTATCGTAGATTCGTTAACAGTATTGACAACGAAAGCTGGTTGTCCCACCGAACTGAGTGTAACACGCGAAAACGTTTCACGCGAGTGAAATGATGAATGGAGTTGTTCGTACCAGTCTCCCCGTGTTGGGTATAGTGAGCGCGAATGACTGATGGGCTGTCCTGCCTGCCCCTTTCAACTCCTGCTATTCCGCTGGTAAATTTAAACGATGACATTGTTAGCTAATAAAAGCGCGTTTACGTTTTTAATTCTTTCTTTTAATAAAACCATCTCTATTTTTATTTAAATTACAGTTTTTGATGAATGCCAAACCAAAGATACCTTTGATAAACATTTTGCACTAGTGTTTCACCGCTTGTTTCAATCCCATTATATGCAAGAAAACTGAACTTAATAATTTCAATAATAACAAATTGTATGCCATAATAATATCAAAAAGTTTGACACACTATGTGACATACATAATTATCACATTTACAACGGTAAAAAGTATGAGACATGGGTATAAGTTTAAGTGTACAAAAAGTCAAATATGGTTAATAATTGTTAATAAAGCGTTATTTGAAGGCATCTCCCTCGCAATTTCATAACGTGTCAAAGTATCTTCAAACGAGAGGACCTTTGATGACATCTCGAAAGGTTTTGAGTCATTAACATTAGAATATAAACTTAAATTACTGGTGCATGTCTGAGCAAGCAGTATTGTACGATAATTCTCTACCGGATGCACTCGTACTTAGGCGGTGCATAATTTAAGAGGGGTTCACGTTAATACTGGGTTACCTCGGGTCTTCCAGAACGAATTGGATGTCTCTTTCGAACATCCAAAGAGTGAGCAGGTTAATGTACTCGACATTCATAAAGGATCTATGAATTGACAATTCACATGTTTCAAAGCGTAGAACTTTACGGCAAGGGCAAAGCTTTGCATATGAAAGAGGAAGAAAAAGCGATTCGGATGGTAGCGTTGTTTGACAAAAGAACAGTCGCAGCAAAGTAAACAATGACAAAGTTGTCTTTGATAAAGTTGTTGTAATTAAAAACAATACTCATATAACATCGGCAAATTAACAAAGAGATAGTAAGGGTCGAGATCTAAGGAATATAATTTTGCAATAACTGAGTTTCTTTGATTATGCTGGGCGATGAAATTCTATTGTTCTTTATCGCGATGGAGTGGGCACTATGTTAAATCCTTGCTGATTACATTTGTATTAGAATTGATGACCAACGATTTCAAAGGATTCAAGAGCAATGCGAAAGATAAATTAAATTTCGCCGTTGTTTGAATAAATTTGTCATCTCGATAAATTGGAATGTATGAAAAATAACATCGTTACAAAGAGCGTTGTTGTCCAACGTTGTTGGATTTATTAGATTCAGATTTTAATTCAGATCATCCAATTGAACCCTAGCGGTAACTGCATTACTCTTGGTTTATTGGTGGGTTGATTCAGTCTCAGTTAAACCTATCTAGTATTTTCATTTGTTCCTATCTAGTTTGTTTAATTACTTACTACTTCTCAATTTTCAATAATCAACATCTGGTCTGGACCCAACAATGCCCCAAAAGTAGCGTTGTTGTGATAGGCTACAGCTATAGGAGTGCTGTTTATATATTATGCCTGCAAGTTTATGTATGAATACGAGTTGTTCGGTTAAACTTTATCCAAATATTTTCCATATCAGCCCTCAGGCTTAGGGCGGCAAATATGTACACATGTAAGGTGAAAGCTTTATACAGCTTTAATCAATACTACTCAGTTGAAGTATCTGAATTGCATGACATAGGTTCACCTGCAAAAGCCATAACTGATTTTATGGCCCTATAAAATGATCTGACGCCTCATTTCGGCGCTATGCATAATTTAAAGCGCCTTAGGTGTAATAAAATGGGTCGTCATGAGCTTGTTTGTATGAATTGATGGAGTTTCAAGAGCTACTCTCGACTATTGTAATTTTTTACGCTTCATAGACAGACTAGGCGTTAAATTGGAGCATAAAATAAAAAAGAGTGGTTTGTACGCCGGGTTTAAAGGTGTCGCCTACTCGAGAGGTCCTGGGTTCTAATCCCGGTGGGGGCAGATGTTTGTGATGAATACGAGCATTTGTACTCCAGTCATGGATGTGTAATATGTATTTCTATATAAATATACTTATATACGTATTCTATCCGTTACGCAAGTATCCATAACACAAGCCTACGGTGCTTACTTAGGGGCTCAGCTAATTGGAATGAAAAATAAATTACACGCTTTATCTTTGTCATCTTTTGGTCGATGGACAAGAGGTAATAAGTGTCCATGATATTTGATAATCTAACTGGGGACTA